AATTATGGTGTCATACTTTTCTATGCGCTAATCAATTTATATATTTATATGTTTGTACGATGCTCAAATCAAGGTTTTTTTAATGTGCCAGTTTATATTAATTGTACATCATAATAGCCAGGATGTTTGAAAAAATTGTATCTCATGATCTCCGTTCAACATAAATTAGTATTAAAGATATTTTTTAGAACATTAAACAAATTTATTTCTAAAAAAAAAAATAGTTGCATATTTTTTTTTTAAAATATATATACCTACAAAATAATGATGTGAATTTCATCAACAAAGACCGACCTAATATTATGTTTATAATTATTTTTACAATGTAATCAGTACCAAATTTACAGCCACCATTAATTAACAATTAAGTAAATAAATATGTTATTTGGTAGTATGTTGTATATTTCTTTAGTCGAGTACACTTAAACTATAAGTATTATCAATGGGAGGTATATGTTTTTATTGGGATGATAAAAAAAAAAAAAAAATTGTTATATTAGCGGTTGAACATTTTTGTTTTATAGTTAAAATTATTTTATTTACAGTTATATAAATTTCTATTATAAATATTATATATTATATAGATATTATTTTTTTTTTTATTATGTACATGTCTTTAATTTAACTGCTTGAAATAAATAATCATATATTACCTAACAATATATAACTTGTGTTGAAATATTCTTTATTTCTACATTTAATGTGAACAAATATTTTTGAAATCTGAATGAGGGTTTGCCCGCACTAGTTATTCAATTTAAACATAGGTATCAAATAAATATTGATTATTCATAAAAAAGTGTAAAACAATTTATCATGGGTTTTCAGCGAGCAATCCCACTATTTTGTCCTTTTTTGTCTAACATCTGTTAATTTTTATTTTGAACATTAAACCTAACAAATAAATTTATTATTATAAAACGTATTTTTTAGCTAATTTAAAAATAAATGTTCGATTGGTCGTTAATCAAAGCAATGAATAAATTAATGTTAATTTATGTTATGAAGAGGTTTTGATATTTTGGGGATGTTAAAATAAACTATTTGGTGAAGTAAAAGTCAATCAACATGTAAAAAATTGTTCTCACTTCAAATGTCATTTTATTAATGATAATATAAACACATTTAGTATTTCTAAGATTTATCTGGTTTAGTCAACTGGGAAGAGAAAAAATTGGTGTTGCGACCATCGTAATATAAGATTTCACTTAAATTGTCAACATAGTTATAATAATATTATATTAGCTTATAATTTAAATTGTGAATAATATAATAAAATTCAATTCAAAAGTTTGAATAAAATATTTATTAAGTTTTGGCTACAATGAAAAATTACCCACTCAGTGTAGTGTTGTGTCAAAAAATTGTTTTCTTGTTAGGAAAACACCAATATAAAATATTGTGATAATTTAAATTATATAAATTACAGGCATTAACATGGATAGTTTTTAAAATAGCAGTCCTATAGAAATAAAATTCGGAATGGTTTATTACAAATGTTGAAATTTTGTTGTACAAAAATAAAAATATTAGATAAATTAAACATTTGTTTGTAGTATTGTTTCACTTTAAAATTGAAAGCTGTTATAAAATAATGAAATTTACTTCATTAACCAGTCACACTGGTTATAAGTGGTTAAAAAAATAGTGTGATAATTTCAGATAGAATGTAATCACAAACTAACTTTTCGTCATCCTCCTCCAGAATTTGACTTCTCCTTTCTAAACCTATCTGGCATATTGTTTTTCATAATCATAATATAATCAAACAATCAATTACAATTAATCATATATTTTGTTTTAAATCCTTAATCTACTTTTTGTTTTTATATACAATCTTTAATTTAAAAAATGTACTCAACCTTTTTTGATAGTTTGGTTGAAGAGGGTTGTAAGTCATCACCTATGGGACAAGTTTTAAATAATTAGGTTTGTTACCAGCTGTTACTATAAGTTTTTACTACCAACACAATTTCATTATCAATTTGAGGTCGGAGACTAAAATATAATAATATATAATAATATCATTGACCACAAAATATCTTATTAAAAATTACAAGAAAAATATATTTTCGTCAAAATTTGATATTAAAACAAAAAAATAATTACTACATAGCATTATTATTATTTTTTTTTTCTGAACACTTAGTATAACCTTATAATCTTATTAAATGTTCGAGCATTTTTGTTTAGTCTAACAATTTTATTCACTGAATCACCTATCAAATAAAAATTGTTAAAATTTCTCAAAATTAAAATGTTTATAAATAGTTTAAAAATGGTTAATATGTATATTTTGAATATATTTCCACATCTAGTAATTTTTCTGTCAAAATTCAATAAAAAAAAACAAAATTTAAAGTAGTAAAATTATTATATATTTTTGTTCAGTTATTAAGAAAACTACTTGGAAAATCAAAAACTGCTTACTTTAAGTAGTTGTATCCAAAATCCAATAAAAATATCACTCGGCGCATTTTAGACTGAAGCAATATTACCAAGTTTTAAGTCTACGCGTATTTATAACCGAATTACAGCAAATAAGTTTTTTAAAAGCTCAAAAATGGCTCAAAAGTTTTAGTGATAAAACCGTAAGAAAGTAAATCAAAAATATACTATCTAAAGTACAATATAGATAACTTGAGCCTTCAGAAAAATTGCTACACATAAAAATCGGAGCGACTTTACTAGGAAAAACGTATCCACAAACTAGAACAAAGAAGAGAAAATAAATAGCATTGTAAAACCAATGCTGCGCTACGCTCAGAATCTAAAATGATCTCATTACACCAACTAGACAATATTTTCTATTAGAAACCATCACCCCAAAAGTTGAGAATCAGGGTAAGACTTAGTAGAAAAAATTTTAAAAAGAAAAATGAAAAATAAATTTTGAAAACTATTATAAGAAAAGGGGCAATAATTTTATTGAAGTCTAATAATCTCTTATTTTATTTTTCTAATTTAAGTCTAACCTTCAAATTCAACCTCACTTAACTCATAAGATTTATTATCCTTGAATAAAAAACATTAAACTCGCAATGATTGGAATTAAAACTTAACTACGTACCTCCTAAAAAAGTAATTATCCACCACCATTAAACATTAAACATCTTGAAAGCATGAAATAATAAAAACCAAACGTTCCCACCCTAGCATGTGGGTCGCATGGCTCGCCAACTCTAGTGTAAATAATACCCGATTTGTTGTTCAAAACTACGTCGGGTATGGCATACAATCAAAAAATGGGATTTTTAATAATTTGTACTTAATGAAGTTGTCTTGTCACAAAATTATTGTTTTTATTATATAGTAAAGAAAAAACATGCTTACAGATTCGTGTTTTCCGGTCACTACCCTAACCTGACCATAACCACGAACCTAACTTTACAAGTTATTATTATTTTGTATTTTATATTGAATCACCCACATTTTTAAAAAAAAACCAATTATTAAGGTATTTGAAATAGGGTACCTCATTTTTACCTACAACATTAGTGTAAAAGTTAACATTTTTACAATTGTATTCCATATTTTAACCAACCATGTCGCTAATGGTGCCAAACAATTTTTTAAAAATATTAAAAACAAAAACCCTATTTCCAATATTTTAAAAGATAATAAATAATTTCTCCTAGGATCGATCCCCATTATACCCAACCTTTCCATACATGCGTATTTTTAACGGTGGCAACGCGGGATCTGGGCCGACTATTCTAGCGGAGCTCAACGTGTTATCAAAAACTATCATCTTCCAATATTCAAAGATAAATCAATTAACAACATTAATGGCAAAGAAATATTGAGTACCCCTACCGTCGATTTAAGGATAAAGTTAGAAATTCCATTTTCATAATAAGATCTAGGTAATCTTTAATTTTAATAATTTAATTTTCAGTTTCCTTTTGGTGTAATAGGGGTTAGGTTAGGTTATATTACCTATTATACAATTTGAGAAAAAATGTACACATTTATAGTTGGATGGGCATTAAATGTAATTAATATATTCTTAAATCAACTATAGTTGCCTAGGTAATTTATAGGTACTTAATTTTTATTGAAGTAATCAATCTTCAGTCTTTATTTTATTTTTTTTTTTTTATTGAATATATTAAAATAATCACTTTTGTAAGAAAATTTATTAATAGCTTCTTACATTTTACCAAGACATTTTGAAAAGATTTGTTGATATTATTTCCGTTCATAATGACATCTCAATTTTCTGTGAATATAATCACTAGTAATATTTTTGGCAAAAATATTATCTACGCAAGTCTTGGAATTATTGGTAATACGATGAGTGCTCTCATTAATAAAATAAATACAATTATGATTAAACATAGTATTTAGGTAATCAAAAGATTTATTAGAATCCTTAATATTGATAATATCACCTACTATAATATAATAGATACCCTACCTACTGAAATTGTTTAGTCATTCAAAGTGATAATAAATTATTTTTATTACTATTTAGCGATTTATAAAGATCCCTATAAAATTGTAGCCAAAGATCTCTCATTCTAATAGATAGTCAGTTCAATAGAATTACAATCAGTTACTGATTATTTTCAAGTTACTTTTAACAAAAATAGTTACACACTCCTTTTTATTTATTTACCAAAGCAAATTAATATTACAATATCCTTTTATCATAAAATTAAAACCAACTAAAATCATGTTAGAACTAATACATCTAAACTAATTATTATTAATTAGTTATTAAAACATTTAAATGCGAAATTTATGATTTTAAGTACAATTATTCTGTATTTGGTGTCAATAAGCCCATTTGGATTAAACATAAAAATACGGATATACTTAGCATATGGGTTCAGCCACTGTTGTAGGTGAAAAGTTGGGAAGGTAGTAGAGGAGATATTTAGTATATATCTGTAAGCAATGATAAACCATTGCTAACGAGAAAACGATTCTATTCTGAGCGGAGTTCATTTGATACTTTGATACTGTTGCTTTGTCAAAATTGTAAAACAATTACATAGGCATTGTATATTTTCTTTAATAATAGGTATTACCAAATGGTTAATATTGTTTCTATTTTCCCGTTTTTCCATGGTTTTTTACATTTATTGGAAAAACTCCTGGGGAAAATCAAAAAATTACCTCCTTAAAGTACCTCTTCAGTCAGATATTCTTTTAGAAAAAGTGCTATCATTATAATTCTAAGAAAAATGAATAGAATTGGTAGAAAAATTGCGCTGAGTAAAAAAAAAAAAAAGTAAACATCTTTGTAAAACCATAACGTTCTTCGCTCCACTCAGAATCTAAAATATGCCTAAAAAACACGTCAAAAAAATTCTGTTTTTGTAATAACTGTTAAGATTTATTTAATTTAAAGGCAAATTTAATTAAATACTCAGGTACTCATTTAAATTATCAACGTAGCTTAAACATGTATGTTAATCTATAAATATTATAATATAATATAAGTAAAATATGTATTTCGAATATAAAATAAAACCAAAAACAATATTGCTTTTTTTAATTGTGCCAAAAGTTAAGAATTATACTTTTACTATTTTTAATATAAAGTAATAAAATAAAGAATAATCATGACGTATAAATAACAGTGACGTTACGGATATGGATCAGATGAAACATTTTTCCTGCAATGAAAAATTAGTTATTTTGGTTGATGTTATCACCAAACAGCATAGTTATTAACCATTGTTAATAGTATTATCATTCAAATCTTTATTGTTAATTGTTATGAATTTATGAAATTCGTAAGAAAAAATCACATTTTATAATTAAGTTCTCAAGTGGTAATTAATATTTAAACATATAAGGATTAACGCCAACCTAAAATGAATGCTCCTCCGACGTTTGAATCGTTTTTGTTGTATGATGGTGAGAAAAAGTAAGGAACATAATATTATTTTCAGTATTTAAACATATCTCGAATAAAACAATATGGTTTTTATAAATATTTTAGAATTGTCAAAGAAGTCGATACAAAAGTAACCAATGCAGCAATATTCACTGTTAACAAAGAAGATCACACTTTGGGAAACATGATCAGGAAGTAAGTGAATTTAAATGAGTAGTAAACAATTATTGTTATATTTAAAATCATAACAAATTTGTAACATAACAAATTATTTTGTTAAATTTAGCCAACTTCTTAAAGACCCCAATGTACTTTTTGCCGGATACAAACAACCGCATCCCTTGGAACACAAATTTGAACTTCGCATTCAAACCACATCTGATTATACGCCACAAGATGCATTGACCAATTCTATAACTGATCTATTAGCTGAACTCTCTTTATTCGAAGAACGGTTTAAGGTATTATTTGCATACATTGAATCTTTTAAATGTTGTATTATTTTTGAGTAATCAATCAGGTATTCAAATATTCAAAGTTATTTGTATTAAATACAGTCATATTAATTATATACATACTTGAGAGTTTATAATATATTGTATTATGAACAATTTGGAAGTAATGTAGAAAAGCATACTTGTATTGTAACTGTATTTTGTCTAACCATTTTTTAGTTATTTATTTTTGTTATCAAAAATTTCACTAAAAAAATAATTTAATTTTGCAATTTTGGTAATTTAAAGAATTTGAAAAATTAGTAGATTCTATAAGTTATTCTAGACTTATTTCTTGGATGGAATAAGATGAATTTTGGCATCCTGCCTTCCCAGTCTGCCCAGTTCTTCCCAAGTCATGCTATTGAGGTAAAAAAAAAATATCAAAAACACCCCCTATATTTTCCCTTTTATCCTTTACCTTATCAACGTTCTGCAGTCAGAATTTTCTACAAAAATATGTGTGATTTTAAGAATTTGTGATTTCCTTTATATTATATAGATAACAGTCTAGGATTTTGTATATTTCCTAGAGAAATATTGATTTTTAGTTTTAAATTCAATTATATAATTTATCTACAGGGTAATTTTTTTTATCAAATAACACTCATTATTTCAAAAGTATTGATTTTTTTCAACATTTTTTTTTGAAAACTCAAAAAATAAAGTTTTAAATGTTATAATATCATTTTTTTTTTTGTACCCCTTATTTTTGTGGGTGAAATGACTGCCTATTTTTAATTTTCAAATAGCAACCTATATTGAAAATGGCTTAAATAGATAATGTATTATTTAAAATAAAATTTGGATGTTGAAATTTTTGATTTTCGATAACTCGTTTATAAGATATTTCACTTATAAGTTTGGATCGGGAGAGAGTAGTGAAACATCATATGTGTGACGGTACAGTACGCGGCGTTATAATAATGGCATTTTTATTATAGGTTGCCATTTGAAAATCGAAAGTTTATGAGTTATATCAGTTTAAAGTATAGACCGGAGAAATAGGAAAGAGTTATAGATTTAAAATGGTTTTAAAATAAAGCTTCAATGTTTTCATTATGTTTAGAAAAAAAAAAAATCAAATTAACTTAAAAACCTCCGAGATAATTGCTAGTTCATGATAAATTACCCTGTATATAAAAAAATGTAAAATTACTCTAGAAAAGACCAATTTAAGATTTCTGAACAAATTTGAAGTCTACAAATATTTTTAACTCAATTGCAAAAAAATTAAAAATAATAAAATCGTTATTTCCGTAAACTTTCATGTTTTTTTCAAATTTTTTTTGGGATTTTGCTCAGTTGTTAAGAAAACTAATTGGAAAATTAAAAACCCACTAACTTGCTAAATATTTTAATCCAAAATTCAACAAAAATGGTTTCTTTTCATTTTAGATTATATCAAATTTTCTGGTTGAAAAGTCGTTCAGCATATAAGTTTCTTGCTATGCCTAGAATCTAATATTAGAAATCAAATTTTGTTAAATAGTTTGAGAATTTACTGGTATTAAAATGCATTGTTGTATGTAGATATTGTTACCTAAAAGTAAATGATAATATTTTTTATAATTTTGTTTTCCAGGAAGCTTTGAGGGAAAAGAAAGAAGGCCTCGACTAACAAGTGTTTATTAAAATAAGAGTAATTAAGGTAAAGGCAAATTGTAATATTAATAATAATTACTTGTATTAAAACATGTTAAATTTTAGTATTTACATAATTAAATAATTTCTTTACGTATGTTTTGATAATATTTGTTTTTGTATATTCTACACATATAAGTGTATAAAAGTTATAAATTAATTAATAAGTCTCTTATTTAAAACATATGAGTACTATACAATTATATAATAGCATTGGAGGTTGATAATTGTTAAAAAAGGATTTTTATATACTGAAAATTAATTAATTTTAATAATAAAGCACATTTGTAAACACTATTGGAATAAAATTATTACATTTTATTGTATTTGAAAGCAGTCTTAAAATTAATAATTATAATTTAAAAATAAAACTAAATTTTATTATTTTTTGGAACTGTATTGTATTGAAATTGTATAAGAATACATTGGAATACACTTAATGCGGACAAATTGGAACCAGATACTTTTTCCCATATTAATTGGTTGCCTATTTGAACTGAAATGAGTAATGTTTTGTACATTAGATTTAGGATTAGACCATTATGCCCGCATTAGGTAGTTGCTCACATTAACCTGTGGTCACATTAAGCGGAATCCACCGTATATAAAATAGATATTTAATGACTCAATTTAGATGAACAATTTATAAAAATTGATCATATAATATGTCATTAATAAATGATAAAATAATATTTTAAACTCAAGAAACTACCAAATAATTATATAATGAAAATTCCATACCTAAGAATATATTTTTAAGTTTTTAATTTGAATACTATGAGTCCTACATAATTGTACGTTCCCTAAAAAAATCTTAAGAATATAATTTTTTAATTCTCATGAATTATTTTAATAATTTATTATAATTTATACGTGTCTTAAAAATTTGTCTAGTAACTTTTAAATTGTACATCAAATTTTAAACACGACCAATGTATGTTATATTCGATTAACTGACCTATGTATATTTTATAAAATGTAATTTTAAATTTGAATTAGAAATAATTTTTTGGTTGTAATGAGATATTTATTTGAATTTGGAAGTCAATATCTATGAATAGATATAGTTATATTATAGTTCTAATTATCACATAAAGGTTTTTTTTTTATTTACTATATCAAATAACAATTACTATTGCCATGTTTGTTGTTACACTTCCTATTATAAAAAACTGTAATACCAAAATTAGATTAAGCTGTGAGGAGTGCGAGTAAGACAATTTCTAAGATATTATTTAACTCTTTTCCTTACATAAAAGTTGAATAGGAACTTTCAATTCATGAGGTCATTTCTGTATTGATGTTAATAAGAGGGGCTGTTATTTGTCAGTTTACCTCTCTTTGTTGATTCCTTTTTCAAATATTTTCCTTCATTTTTACAGGACCATAATATTATTTTATTGTACTTTTAAATCTATATAGGTATTAGTTCAATATGTATAAAACATAGTATATATATATTAAGTGTGTTTACACATTCGGTATTTAATATTTTGCATTATAGTGTACTGGGCCAGAATTAGGAGGGGGTAAGCTGGGAATTTATATCTTGGCATAAAATGTTCAAAGAAGTATTCGTTTATTTTGTTGTATATATCTACTGATAGATACTTCTATCTGAGTTAAGGGTTACACTACATAGACCGTATAAATCATTTTATCCACTATTGTAATAGTTCCGGTACTGTCAGAGTAAATAACTGTAGAGTAGTAATTTTCCCGATGGTAATAGACGATTAAAAATTTGATTACACGATTGAATATCGAAAATAGTAATAATGTGAACAGAGCAATATTTCGCAGCTATAATAAAATTAGACCTTTATCGTTGTGAGAACGGGGTTGTTTTTTTGTTGTTTTCGTAAACCTTTTGGTTAAATTTAAAGCGCGCCAAAAAGTGTTCTCAATATTAGATAGAAAAAAAAAATTAACTCTATTCCCATAGGGTATAGGCCATAGGTGTGTAAAAATCCCGTTGTCGTTGTCGTTCGTTAGATGGCGTTTTTTTTTCCGCGACGTCGGCGCCGTGGTGGGAGAACTCTGCGGTCGGTGCTGTTGTTATTGTTTATTTTTACGCTCCCGTCACGGCCGCAACTGTTTTCTTATCATTGGCCCCGTACAGTAGTCGTGTGCGTTCGTGTGTGTGCACGCCCGTGCTGTGTGTGTGTGAGTGTGTGCGTGTGTGACAAATTTTGTTCGAGCAGAAGCAAAAAAAAAATAACAATATACTACGCACGGTAGTCGTGTCGTCTGTCGTGTTCAAACACGCGATATAATATTGTTTGGTACCTACTTTTTAAAATAAAATAAAAAAATTGTGACGCGCCAAATTTCCATAGGACAAATGTTGTCGTTTTCCGACCATATCGGCTGGTCCAACCGCACCGGCTGTAGTCATCAACACTGAATTTCTTTGCTTCTGCAATTTGCAAGACACATCACCACCGCCCGAGGACGACCTCGTTGGAATGACAACATAGCAGCAGCAGGTAAGTTCTTAATTCTCTTGCATAGTACTGATGGCAAGTATCCTTGCTGTGTATAAAATGATGTTATATACTGCCATATTTTCAATATCTGTCCACTTATATTAGTACCAGATATCAACGGCCGTCCGTATATTCTAGGGATTTGCTTGGGATATGACTATATGGATTTATCTACCTACTATTTGATTGATTTCTGTATTTAGTATTTTGTATACTTTTTTTGTTAAGTACCTCAGTATATTTTAAAAATCAAACAATTTAAATATGGTATATTATTATGAGGTTGTAGTTTATTATATTACTTATGGTTTTTAGATTGTATAATGTATATGATACCTATGCTAACAAACTTCAATGCCAATTGTGATGATGGTCAACAGTTATTATTATTTTCTCATTACATAAAAAATATTCAAATTTTCCATTAAATAGTAATAGTATTACTATAAATATGATATAATATGTAAGTAAGAAAAGTTCTAAAATCACATTGACTCATTAGAATGATAAATATAATATTTAGTTACATAAGTAAAATAATATTTTTTTAAATCCGATAGGTGTCCATTCAATACATTTTATTAATCTTGTTTTGTATAATTGAGTTGATTAGTATTTAAATTTTTATGTGAAGAATATTAATTATGTAGGTACTTAATACAAAAATATAGGTACTTAATCCTTTAATTTAAATGTATTATTTAACTGCTCGTTTAACTGTCAACAGACCTAAGAAACTTATTTTCTCAGACAATGTTAACTGTATGTACTCTGGCTATATAGATTATAATTTGAAAATCCTATAAGGTATATTAAATTATATATAATTATTATTATTTATATAGGTACCTGATTTTGTCCAATTTTATTTGTTTGTGTTGGTTTTAAACTTAAATAATATTGATATTCAAAAAAATATTTGTAATTAGTTGATTACTTTCTATAATAAGTATGTCAATTTGTTTACAAAAATTAAGTTGAAAGATTTTTTTTTAATTTTTATATTTATTAGATATACTGTTATTTTTAATTATTTTAGATTAAAAAGTCTAAGTATAATAGTTAAGGTTAGATTTGTTATTTCAGATTTACCAAGTTCTTTTCTATTTTTGTGCATATTCGGTAATATACAATATTAGATATTACTTAAGTACGTTTTACCCTAGTGTTATTTAGATATATATATTTAATACAAAATGCTATATTAGGTATTACATAGTTACTAAATTAAACATTAAGTTCTTAAATTTATTTCAAACGCGATTTGTAAAATTCAATATTACTTTTTTAAAAAATAATTGTTTTATTTACAAAGTACCCAATATGTACTTTAGTTTAAATGTTGTACCCAGAAGTTGTTGGGTTTTTTTTTTTTTAAAAATATATAATTTTTTATAAATAGGTACATATGGATAAAAAATTAATCTATACACTTTAATTTTGGGAAAGCTATCTAATTCTTTAGGCATTTTCAGTACCTGTGCCCAAGTATAGACTATAGCTACATTTTTCTGTACACCACTTATCTACCTCCTTATCATGACTTTAAATTAATTGTCTTGAAATGTATTTATTACAGATTTATTCATCATACCATATATTTAGAATATTTCAAACTTATACATTGGTATAAGAAAGTATTGAATTTAGCCCATTTGTGTTTTATTGTATACATTCTTATGAAATTAGAAATTATGTAACTAGGCACTAATGACAAAATAAATTTAATTCTCATATAGGTACATAGTTAATATAATTTTACTGTTAAAGTAATATATTATTTATTAAATGCATATATACATACTGTTACTTAGTAATCATTATCAAGAATTTTATATTTTAATTGATTATAATTTGTGAATATTGTAACCTAGTAAGAGAAAAATAAAAAAATAAACTTTTGGCACTAAAAATCTGGATATTTTGCAATTACAATTGTAAGCAAAGACTCTATATGTCTGCAGACAAATATTGCAGTGAAACAAAACACAATGTTTGAACATATGTTAGAAAAAATGCAAATATAAAAAAATGTAATATCATGTATTAAGCAGGTACTTTCCTAACCACCTTTTATTGTTCAGATTTGGTGTTAGAATCTTTAAATTGTGTAAAAAAATAACTAGATATGACGTGCAATTTATTTTTCAATATATTTTTCGTAAAAAATCCTTACAAAAGTCGTGATGAAGGTATAGGTAATTTTTTTAAAAATAATGAAGTAAAATATTATTTTTCATATTTTACAATACAAAATGATTATGGATTATTCTTGGTGCTTTCGTGTGTTTGGTTAAAATTGTAGGTGCGTTGTTAAATACGTTTTCATTCAATATTTTTGGTACATGATTTTCGGATAGGCCCAAAATAAAATATTTGGAAAAACAAAACTTTATCTTTTTCAAAGTACCGATAGACATTATATAATTATATTTATAATATTACGTTGTTTGAATAGTTACATTTTATGATGGATGACGATGAAACAGTTTTTAGATTTACGGATAGATAGGTACTAAATCTTTCCATTTAATGTGTAGTAGGTACCTAGTTTTATTCAAATAATAATATTATATTTGTTCTGTTCGCCCTAAATTTACAATATTATTCATCAACCTAAAATTGATTCTACCGTACGTCAACAAAATATTACTCGTGCAAAAAACATAATATAAAATATTGTTTTCAACCATTATCGTATTCTAGGTTACAAATGTACAATATTTTAATACGATACTCGTGTACCTTCATCATATTAATCTTTGCTGTAATTCGTTAATAATAATAATGAATACTGTTGAGTGCTATTGGCATATTTCACAATATGAATTTACACAATATATATTCTACTGCCCCCGAAAAGTGTTTATTCAGTGAAACATCATTATTGTTTTAGATCATTGTAAAACCGTAATATTTCCCATAACAGTTTAGTTTAGCCTTCATTTCGAACAGAGTTTATTCGAAGTAGACACTCGTGGCAAAATAAAACGACTGGCCATATTTCAGACGTATCTTATCCAGTGACGGCGCGAACTTGTATTATGAGTGAGTCTGGCCAAATTATTTGATCCATCTACACATTTATTGATAAAAAGCTCCTGAACTTTTCTCCGCTCCTCCCCATATTCTATAGTATAAAAGCGGGTAGGTATTATATATTTTATTGTTATTGTTAAATAATCCGTATTTTACAAAACCAACTTCTATTTCATGTAAAATATTTTCTACTCGATTATCTAACGTCCGTCTAGCTGGCCATGCCGCCCACCCGCCTATTTGAAAAAAAAAACTACGGTACTCGCAGAATTACCATCTCGTCGTCGTTGGTCTTATCTTTCAAAAAAAACCGCACAAAATACAGAGTTGGATATATTATTATCCATACTATTGGCGATTTTGCTTCCTATAATATGCTTGTACCTATGTGTTTGTCGTGGGTTTTCAAGAGTTATTTTTTTTTTTTTGAACGATATAAAAGTAATATAAAATAACTAAAATTGTCTGTATAAATTAAATTATAAAAAAAACCGGGTTAGCCATTGTTGTATAGGTGGAAAGTTTGAAACGTATAGAATGTAGGGTAATTTATTTTGTATAGGTACTTGATGTAACGATACATTTTTGCAATCGAAAATGGTTCTGAACGTAGTTCGATAAACTCTATAGTAGGTATTAGTCGTGTTCTTCCTGTTGTATGTTGCCAAGGTAACATAAAAATCAATACAAATAAAACCAATTTTTCGACATTTGTTGTCAGATTTTTTAATCTTTTAGAAAAACTGTTGGGAATGAAGATATTTTGTGAACAGGTGAATAATCTGGTAGGATTCTGGAAGGTACTATGTGAATAATCTGAAGCACTTTTAATAACCAAAAAGTGTTTTCTGATTAAAAAAAAAAAAAAAAAACGTTTTAGTAAAACTAACCGTCATCTACAATTTTTTTCAATTTTTTTTTTTTGATTTTCTTTGTAGTTTTCTTAATAAAATTTAAGAAAAAAATGAGGAATGTACGCAATAACGGATTTTGTTATCTTATAGAGTTTTTTTTTCTGTTGTAGTTCGGTTTAAAATAGTCGCAGAGACCTTAAATAGGTAGAAAAGTAGTCAAATACTTATATTGGTATTTTCTATACGTGGTACATGTTGGCGATTTTTGAGCTTTTTAGAAACATTTGAAATACTTAAGTTTATGTAATGTTTTATGTGAATCAAATTGTTTTGGCCGAGCAAAAATGTTTGAAAATGTTTACATGAGATTCATCACAAATTGTACATAGTGGTAAAAAGAAAATCGAGTGTAGTTTTTTTTGTATTATTCAGTGTTCAATTAATTTGAAAATAGTAAAAATCGCGGTATTCACAAAATAAACGTTTAACCAAACTTTGTTTAGAATCGTGTTTCATTAGAAATAATTTATTGTTGCGCGTTTAGATATAAATTAAATTGTACATTTAATTATATCAAGTTCCTGCCTATAATAATAATATGTCGTTAGTATATATTTGATTATTTTGTATCACTTTAAACCAGTAACGTATAAAATGTTTTCAAACGAATCGTCATATTATAAAACCAAATATGATTTTTCGCTCTATCTACTCTCATAATCTGAAAAACGTATAAATATTGTATTAAAAACTTTGATTATTATTATTATTTTTTTTTAACGAATGGCGTTTTTGAACATTAAAAAAGTATACTTTTGTATACATGATTGATTGTACACTATTATATAACTCATATGGTTCGGAAAAAAAATGGTTATGCAATTATAAACGTGCGTAATACATCGAGGGACGTTTCTATATAATATTTTATTGACAAAATTAAGATGAAACTAAATGTTCTCAATAGGTTATCTAAAAGTTATCATATTTTTATACCTCTATTATCCAGCAATAATCAATATAGAATATTATATATTTCATATTTTATATTTTGCCGTGGACCAAGTTTCACCACATGCATAGGTAACTAAGATAACTTGCGTACAAAATAATATTTATTTCCATTTGATATTCGTTATTTTATTTCCTTATACATGCCGTTTCGGCTGTTTATTATATTAACAATCAAGTTATTCAAGTTATTTTTCAGCTAATATGGGAGTGGGTAAATATCGACAATATTTGGTTTTTGAATGCTATATATTATTTAAGTACGTTAAGTACTTACCTAAATAAAATAAATTGATGTTAAAAACAAATTCAAAATATATTTGAGTACCAACCAATTAATATAAGCGTTGGTTATTACGAATACATTAAACAGAAAATAATTTATAGTGTTGTTTGCTTTATAGTATATTGAGACGAATTTTGAATTGTTGAAAACAAGTTAATGCTTAGTTAGAAATAAGTTTTTTTTGTAAATAATTTATTTTAGTCTATTAAACTTATTTAAATAAACTAATTAAGACCAAACTGATCTAAAGTTACTTGGAAAAGCACTTGTAAATCTTTAATGATAATAAAATATTTGTTCGAAAAATTGGTTATACTAGCCTCATTCATTCATTCTTCGTTCTCTATAACTAGAAGATAGAATTAGAACTAGAACTAGAGACTCAACAAGTAGTATTTTGATTCGCTGCTGAAAAGAACACTTTGATTATTCTCTGACATTAAACGTAGAAATATTTTAAGCAGTACGGTATTTATTAAGTAATACGGTTTTTTCGAATTTCGCTGTTCGATACTCTGAAAATATAAAATATAGCTAGAGTTATATTAAAAGCGAAAAGTAAGTAACTACACTATAATTATAACTATAGGACTCGGGATTTTGTAGCGAATATTTGTTTAAAGGGGAGTATAACATAATGATAATTCGTATGTAAAAATTTGTTTTCTTTCAGTTGTATTCTTCATAATAATTATCATACAATGATTACAATGAAGTAAACTTTATTATTTTTTTTTTATTTGATCAACTATGCCTTTTTGTTTTCTCACATTTAAACTTTTGCTACATTTTACATAATTTGATGGACATTTCACATGTTTCTATAATTCTATTATGTAAGCCATAAATTATTGGTAAAAATTAATGTAATCGTAAGAAAATACATAATTTTAATTCTCAATATAGGCTAAATTTTAATGAAATATATGGTTGTAAATACGTTTTCAAATTTGAATGTACAATTCTAATTTTTTGACAGTATCTTAGTATATTTTTTAACGATTGATTTTGCTGCTAATAATTGATTTCAATTAATTTCATCGCTGTCATATTACATTGATTTTAAAAAATAATTTCTGCAGGGAATTATTTTATATTAAAAACATTTATCAAAGTACTCTTAAAATAATAAATACCCATTATGTTTATATGCATTATAAGTATAAGTTAAAAATATAATGCTTTAAAACTGACGTCATAACACGTATTTCGTATTTTTTACGTGAACAAAATAAGCTTTTAATATTATAAATTAAATTTTAAATATGACCAAAAACTTTCACAGTAAAAAACAAAAAAGTATTAAATTATAACTTAAAAATAAAATAAATATAGGTAGGTAGAACTTTTGAAAATTGCAAATAATTTTCGGTTTTCTGATATGAACCACAAATTATATTAATTTTATTATTTAAATGATGTATATACTTACATACACTGAAATTATAAAACGGAATAATTTTTTCAAATAGTTTTATTGAAAAAAAAAAAAAACAAAACATTGCGTTAATCGATATTTCTTTTGTAAATTACACTCGTGCGTATAGTGTTTTCGCTGCTCGGCGTATTATATACAATGAAGCCAACAAACATTCGTATAACTGCACGTAGTAACGGGAGTAGTAGGTACACCAATATAATTTTATGTTTCTGCGTTATGTACAAAGAAGGGGTTTATCTAAATTTATGAGGTTTAGAAGTATTTGAATATTATAGAAATACACGATTACACACATATGTACTTAGATGGAATTATATGCAATCTATATAATTGCAGGACATCATACTATATAGAGCAATAACCTTTAATTCGTTTGAAAACGCTAAAATAATACGGTTTTTATTTATAATATTTCCTCTTATTTTTAAAGTTTATTTATTAATTATGAAATAATAGTTCAACAATACTTATTGTACGATTGTGTTATTATTTTAACGAGATCGTAGTAGAATTTTCAAAATGTTCACTTTGTTTATGCACTACCGGCTACTATCTATTAACTTAAAGGGATGTCTGCGCACGATTTGTTTTCTCTTCTGAACTCACTTGCAATATAATAAATTTGCGTTCAGCTGAATCAAACTCTCGTTGTTAGTTAATATTAGTATTATAATGAATTGTGAAACTTAAAATTAAACTTAAAGTTAAGAACATTGTCCGCGTTTGTGCGTTGGCTTTGTTACGGTATTTCAATATGTATGCAAGTTATGATAGTATGTAAAATATTACAATTTAAAAACTCTCACTTATCGTTTTAAAATTGAAATACCGTAAAATCCCAAAGTACAAACCCAGATAACGTTCTTAACTTGGAATCTGATAATAGGCCGTTCTAATATTTAAGTTAACAATACTCATTTGGTCTGCTGAACGTAAATTTGCCATGTTGTACGTGGATCAAAGAGAGAAAACAAATAACGATACGATTTTTCCACAGACCAACTAGCCAATATCCATATAAAGGAAATTGATATGGACGAATATCTATTATGGCATTTTAAATTGAAAAGCTAGACAAAAATATATGAATCGAGTTTGACGGATGTTAGTTTTGAAAACGGATGAATAATTTTTATATTAGGTTATGACGGAGTCGATTTCAAATATTTATATATTTTTTTGTAGCAGTAATATAAAAAATGATATTTTTATATTTATATTCTTTTAAAAATTATTAACATACGCATAGAATTTTAGAAATTATTAAAATCCGCCAAAATCTACAGTATTATAATCGATTCAGTTCCGTTTTTAAAATAAAAATCCGTCAAACCTTTTGCTTGTAGATTTTCGGTCTACACGCCATTAATTTTTCTACGACTTCAATCCCCTTAACTATAATCATTATAATTTTGCAATGTAATATAAAAAAAATAAAATACACACGAGTCTCCTAAACAGTATTACGCAACAGTATAATTGTTTTTAGGCATATTCACTATGAATTATTATTATATAATAATATTGGAATAACAACGGTGATTTTATTCAAATAGTCTGTTTGGCAATTGTATATGTTTTTTTTATTGTTATAATTTAATTGCTTTTAAGTTTTGACGATATACCTAAATTAATATTTTTTTTTTTTTTGTATTGTGTTATGTAGTGTTTGTGCACTTCTATATTATGTATACTCAAATATGTTGTTCAGATATTAATTTATTAAATATAGATTAGTTTTGTAGTGCCCACCCCGAAAGACATCAAATTATGATCGTATAAAGTTGTTAAGTTGTTGACAATACGTAGAAAAAAAAATTAAAAAAACATCATGGCTTGGGACTAATAGCGCATTAACTTGTAAAAAAATATTTACAATGTTACAAAATGAAAACCTTTCCCAACTACTATTAAAAAAAAAAAAGATACAAACCAACGTGATGTTTGGATATATATTAATATTTACTCATCCATTATATAGGTGAAAGAATATAAAAGCGAAATTATTTTTAATTTTAGTTTTATAATCGCACACACTGCACACATCGAGAAAAACATTATCAAAAAAATTAAAAAAAAAACTAGATTAGTAGAACAAATTAAAAAAAACTAGAAATTATCAAAAATTAACCGTTTCATATTTTGCAATCGTTGTAGTACCGTAAATTTCCATATCATTTAGTTGTATATTTTATTAACGTGCAGAAAAATAAAATTATGCATTTGCCATTTGCCGTCATAAATCCTTTAGTCCTGATTATAATAATATAGTTTCTTACTCTTGTTAGTTATTATTATTTACTCACCCCTTTTGCGAACGTAAATATTTAGGTAAGTACGTATCGTTATACCCGTGAATGATTTCGTTTTCGTTTAATACGTACAAGTGAGCGAAATAGCCATAAACACGTTTTGAATAAAAACAATATTTATATATATACTCTCGTGTTATAATAGTACCTAGTTTTGTTATATCATAAAATATTTTTAAAAACCGAAAGATAAGGATATTTGTTCATTGTGACCTCCCAAGGTCCTATCAATATATAATATTCCATTTGCGTGCTCTTCAGATAACTCGAGTAGTATAATCATAATATTATTTTCAGCGTATAAATATATATATCATATTTGTTTCATTTTGCGATTTTGATGACTATATTTTTTATACATAACATATTTAGGCAGTAGTAGTATTTTAACGGTTAAGTGTATGCTATACGGATATTAGATAACAATTATTAAACACAACAAAACATTGGATACATTATGAACACGTCAATTCGGGTAAATCGTATCATTTTTCGTTAAAAAAGAATCAAGCGTAGTTAAGTTAAAAAAAAAATTCACTAGAATTTTTTGAAAACGTCTAGAAAAGACTGCTATAAGTAATCCGTGAACTCGTTTAGATATCTAACCGAATTACAAAGAAAAAAAAAACCGATCGAATATATTGAAGCCGTTATAATTTTTCCTAGTTTTCCCTAGGGTTTTTTTTCAATTATTAAAAGGATTACATCCCCAGCGCACCATATAGACACAATTTGCTTTTAGAAGAGATTCTACGCCTGAAAATCTGGACAGTATATCTGGTAGAAAAGTTGTTAATAGACACACGAAAAAAAACACACATGTCGTAGTGGAAAAAATTAACATAATAATTATTTTAATCGAAATTACTTTGGTTAGAAAATTCGTGATGTAAGTTAATACGCGTATGTAATATATTATTATAACACCGTTGTATACAAAGTATACAGGTAAGTAACCGCACTATTTTAGTGTCGAAAAGAAAATGAGTTACATTTAGATGAAAAAAAAGATAATTTAAATAACGACTGTGTTCGGTAGGCACAAGTATTGCAAAATTGTCGGAAATTTTAAATAATTTAAGTACCGAACAAAACCAGTCAGCCGCAGTATACACGTATAATAATATTATATTATAGCAAAGTCATTATATTCTACGCAAAACATATTTTACGTCTGAAATTTAAATTGTTTTATTTTTTTTTTTTTATTCACGGTAGCATTAATTATTAAGCCGCAAAACAGTTGGCGGTAAACATTTAAATATATTTTATTTGTTTAACTGTATAAGTATAATATATCTATTTTAATAAACTTGATCTGGTTTATTGAACAGATAATACAAAAAAAAAAAAAAAAGACAAATTTCAAAATATCTAATATTGTACCTACATATACATAATAATATGCCGGTAAACTGATGGTAAATTTTTTGTGAAACACGTTTCTTAAAAATTAATTTTGTTTTTGGAAAATATTCGATCATTGTACCATAATTATTATATTGGAAAAATTGTTTCGTGTTTTAAGTTTGTAACTAAGTACTTCACTATAGATACGATTCATATATGTACAAAAGAAAAATTAATTTTTCATCTATTTATATTCAGATGTCCTACAGAGATAAGATCATTGCGATACTTTAGAAAATATTAAGATTAGGAATTTTTTATTTTTTTTGTCAATTTTAGAAACAAATAACTCTAAAATTTTACATTATCATTATTTCTGGGAGTGAATTGACTGCCTATTATGGTTTTAAATGACAGCCTGTATTTAAAATTACATGAATAGACGTATAGTATTAGTTTAAGTACCTTTTTGATTTCCATTAACTTGTTGACGAGAATTTTACTTTTAAGTTTGGGTAATGGGAGAGTATAGCGGAACATAATAAATGTGGCGACACATGGCGTGGCGTTTGAATAGTGCGAAAACTAATAATTATTTTGTACTCTGATAATTTATTTTATACGAGAGTACACGCATGATTATTTTATATTTTTTTCAGTTTGTTGAATTAACTTATTGTACATAAGTCATATAATAATACAATTTGTATATTATAATAGTGTAATACGACGATGATTTTTTTTTTTTATTCGATTAGACAAAATAAGTTTTCTTAATATAATAATATACCTACTGATATTTTGGTCTAAAGAGTTCAAAGGGTTGTGTTTTTATGTTTATCGATTATTCCATAGAAACGGAAACATATACAGATATAATAATATATTTAAAACATTTTTGTCCGAATGACCCATGTACGTTATTATTATTGTTTTCCTTATCGAAAAAATAGAATAGAAATCGATAATAGTGTGTACGCGAATGTTTCATTTTTTTTTTTCTTTTTTTTTTATAATGACACAATATGAAAAACCAGAATCCTGCTATATAATAACATTTAATAATACTATATATAAACTAAATGTACGAATAGAGCTAAGGGGTAAAAACGAAAAGTCTAAAAGTTAATTAGATATATACTTTCAGGGACGAATATGACCCCGGGGAAAACTGTAATATCCTGTGTTTATTTGATGGCCCGGGGCTTCTTTTCGTTTTTTTTTTCATACTCCTGTTATTTTTGTTAAAAATTAATCCACACGATATAGATGAAAAGAAAAAAAAATGAAATTAGGTTTCTTTGCGATCGTTAATATCCATGCAAGACAAAAATAGTTTTACAATCTTTTAAAAAACGCATTAGGAATATGAAAAAATGTTCTAAAGCGTTTTTAAATTGTCTCAACCGTCACTTTTACCTTTATGAAATAACATATAAAATAAGTTTTAAAAGTATTTTAAATACATTACTTTATTTTTTACAATCCTATACAAAAATACGAGAATAAAAATGCACAAAAATGGAAACTTGTTTCTGCCGGTGCGCTGTGGTGACGACGGGTATTGCACTTGAGACTCAGCCTAACCTACGGCGGTTATCATTTGCATATTACTATTGTTCTATACTATTAAATAATTGTTAAGAAGAGATAATTTTATTACTAAATAAGTTATTAAGTTAATTTCAAAATAATATGTACCTTTATATAGTAACATCTCGAAATTGCGGACATTTTGGGAACGAGAACTTTAATCTCCTCTGAAATGGCGGACATCAGCATCAGAAGAAGTATTTGTCCCTGGTTTTTTATTTATTGGTTATTTCGGTGTCTTTTGTACAAAATAGTAGCTTATATAAAAATAATTATGATCACCTTCAAAAAAAAAAAAAAACTGAAAAAATGGAAGTGGTACTGGCAGACACCTACGAATAATGGACGATAAAGTTTTAGTGACCGCATGAGTCTGAATGTTTAAATAATTTACACTTACTCATATTTGAGTCAACAAGGATGTAAGTATTTAAGTAGGGGTGGGGCTGAGGTGGGATTAATTTCAAAATATTACATATAATATTATGCACACGAAGAGCCTAGATTTTGACTCGGGCTTTCGCCGTCATCCCCCGCGTACCTTTCGTTAGCGCTGGGCGCTATTCAAGAGACGGGGTTGTCAGTGTGTCCGCAGCGGCAAGCCGGTGCGGCTTGCCTGGGTCGCCTGAAGGCCACCAGCACCGGGCCGGCGAACCGGCCCGTACTTTTCGACTCGGGTACGACTGCGTCGCATGGGTTCCTTACGTCTCACTAGGTCAGTGATTTTTCAACTACCTTGCGCTGGTCCCACAGCCACCACGTTGCAGCCGAAGTAGGCGCCTCAACCGCGGGGGGCACTAAGTCCGAAGCGGCAAGCCGGTCCGGCGTGAAGCGGGCCTCCCCCTCCCGTGGTACCGACTAGGTTTTAAGTTGATGTCGGTGGGTCAACCCGGGGCTGAGCCCCTACCACTATTCTAGCTACCCAAGCCGTCTAGTGGTGGGCCTTATAATATTATGCACAGTGACACCTCGGAATTGCCTTTTTTTTTAGGAACTGAATCTTTAAACTCCGAACTGAACTTCCTCTAAATAACGGACATTAGTACAATTTTCAAGGGCACTGTGTGCACGTGCTCCCTATATTTTTGATTTAATTGGTTATTTCAGTTTTTAATAGTTCTAAAAAATAGTAGGTTTTGAATGTAAATAAACGCACAATGTAAAATAAAAAACGTAAATGTATATAATATAATATATAGTACTTATGTAAAATATATCTAAAATACATATTTTATATAAACAATTGTTGCCCGTGCCAATTTTTATTCATTTTCTCTTTATTCTCATTTTGCTTTGCTCGTATTAGTAAACTGAACGCAAAAAATAAGTGGAAAGTGGGTAGTCTGCCTCAATGACTACGATGGACTTAAAGTGTACTGATGTGTTATATATGTTTTCATCATAGACACCCGCATAACGCAAAGATTAAAATATATAATACCTAATATAATAACGCTAAAATTATGAGGACATAATATTATTGTAGTGTTATACCTAAAAATACAAAGATTCAAAGATGAAGTTTTACGTATTTTTACCTACTCACCCAGTACAACGTATAGATTTTTATTTTTCATCCATGTTATACCAAGGTAGCCTCTCCTATTTCAAGCTAATAATAGACCAGTAGACAGTCAGATAGACTATCTATTTTAAGTTGTTATAGTTTTTTTATTTCTATTTAATATTTTTTTTTTTTTTAAATTGTTTTTTTTAATTTCATCTGTATTACTAAGGTAATCTATAGTGCAACAAAATAATTTAATTTTCGTGACACAAAGTAGCCTATGTGTTTTTCCGAGGTCACATTTATCTCTATATCAAAATTTATTAAAATATTGGTTCAGCTGTTGTTTAAGTGTTGAAACGTAACATATAGACTTACTTTCACATTTATAATATTAGTTAGGATTTTAGAAAATAAATGTTTTAGATTCTGAGTGGAATGAGGTATGCATTGGTTTTACAATAATGTTAATTTTTTTTTTAATATTTTTTTTTTATGTGACTTCTTTTTCTACCAGAAAACTTACCCCGATTATCAAGTATAGCACTTTTTCTGAAAGAAATGTTCGCTGAGTGGTACTTTAGAGAGGTCATTTTTTGAAATTATTATTAATATTCGAGATAATGAGAAATAACCTGGTTCTTTAGGTTAAAAAAGATTAAAAGATTAAAAATAAGTTTGTCATTGGCAATCGTTTTTATTTATTTTTTGTTATTATTGAGTTTTTATTATTTTAATCTTTTTTAAACAATCATTGTTGTCATGAAACGTACATTGTCGAAAAAACGATACTATAGAGTATAGACCGAGCTATATTAAAATAAAATAAATTTCGATTTCAATACATTCTTTAAACTATTAATCTTTATATTATATATCTTTATTCTATATTTAAGCATCAACTAAACTCCGCTCATAATCGTTTTTTCATTAGTAATAGTTTATCGTTGCTTACAGATATACATTGAATTCCCTTCTGTATCCTTTCTTCCCAACTTTTTCCATCTACAACAGTGGCTGCACCCACGTGCGGAGTATGTCCATCTTTTTTTTAAAATAATATTAAATTGTGGTTATTAAAATATTGCCATAACAATATGTCAAAAATAATGTTTTTAAACAATTCAAAAATATTATTATTTCAATTCAATGCAACAGGAATGTTGTTATATTTTCAAATATATTTTGAAAAAATATGTGATATATTATTTCCCTTGTATTATATTTATTTATTTTATAACTTTTTCAAAATACGCGGTTTCAGTCATAAATGTCTAGAAATTTAAAATTTAAAATCTAGATAAATATGTTCAGTTGTCATATTCCAAGCAAATCTCTTATAGGAATTATTGATAGTTTAATAAATATTGTATATTAATAAGATTTATGTTAAATAATAATATTATAATTAATACTATTATAATACCTTGATAAGTCCCGATTTCTACTTAAACTATATTCAAAGTATTGTTTTTTTTATTGAAAAACATTTCAAACAGATTTTTTTCAACAGCTAATGTAGATCTTCTGAGAAGTTATGTTAAACAGCCTGAGAGATGGACAAATAAATTATGGAACTACAAACTGTCCGTCTGCTCACGTACCGCCTCACAATGTTGTCGCCCCTATCCACCAAAACTCTATATTACCAAATGAACAAACTACATCAGTGGTTTACCCGTGGAATTCAAATCCTAGAATTGACCATTTGTACGGCTTTCATTCCAGATATTATAATCTCGACTTTCCTACGCCATACCCACCTGCTACTAATCAATATGTACCTCCAAATATATATGAACAGAATATACCACAATGTTGTCAGCCGTGCTGTAGACTCAGGTCTCAGAATATACCAAAAACATCTCCATCGCAAGTGTTATATAACCCAATTCGACCAGTGCAACAATTAAATCGATCTTATAAACCAAAAAAGACTTTAAAAACACCGTGCTCTGAACAGTTCCTACCGTACATTCCAAATGATTTACCGGTTAAGTACGACACGCAAAATTGTTATCAACAAAAATATAATAATTCGTATTTAAACAATACGAATTATTGTCCTCCAACTAATAATTTGTGGATACCACCGACACCTAATCCTACTTGGCCTACCGAAAGGTTACGACCTGTAAGCCGTCATACTGGCGTTACATCCCATGATTTTAGTAGGAATAAAAATTATCCGAGATTACCAAATTATCAAAGTAATCCACATCCTAATCCAACTAATGCTACTCATCATAGACCTTATAATTACATTCCATCGATACCTGATGTAAATGATTATCGACCTTCAGTTTACCAACAAAATCAGTTAATAAAAACTCATTCATCTGATTATTTATCTCAGGAACAAAATTCTAGAATACCTATTTCATCTCAAAACAATCAAATTCCGTCATCGTCTTTTCAACAATACTACAATGCTCCACCAGCGTCTTATTCAGATATATCAAGACCTAGTGAATCGTTTAAACCGCCTCAAATTCCACCACAGATTCCTCCGAAAAGTAATTTAAATGTCCGAGAGTTTTTGGCTACTTGGGACGAAGGAGAAGAAGAAACCAATGAAAAATCATCAGAGTCGACCGCGCCAATTGTGGTACTTGATTGTATGCCAGTTGAAGGAGATGCTTTAACCAAAATCCAAGAAAAACTAAATGTAGTGTCTTATGAAAATCTAGAAAAAGTACTCAAAGAAAATCAAAACCCGGTAGTTATCAACACGGAATCAAATGAAATTGATTTCATTCAAAATAAAGCAAAATTACCATCAAAACCTAATTTTGAACCTCTAGATTATACTAAACGTGAAACAGGAATAATCAAACCGTTTATCACAGAAAAGAAAACTCCACCCGAAATAAATACTCAGTCCGAAAAAAGTTACAGCGTTAATTTTGATGGAATGGTTGCTTGGTATGGTAAAAAAAATACAGATATTTCATCTACAGATCTCATTGAAAAATTAGCTGACAGAATTTTTAATCTTAGTAAATCACAAGAAAGTGATGGCGTATCTTTTGGGACGGCTGCCTATACGGGGCAAATAACTCAAACGAATCGATCCATTGTAAGTTCAGCCAAAGATTCGGAAAAATATCTACAAAGTCACCAAATCTTTGATTTACATCATCGCTCAGAAAAATATATAGAGCCTTCAGTTATATATAAACCCAATGATTGTAACGGTTGTAATAACGATTCTATTCCTACTAATCATTCTTTTGATTCTAATGAAAATAATAAAGCAACCACTATTAAATCAAATAATACAAACTCTTCGTGTATTGTAGAAAATATAACAAAAAAATGTTTAAACGTAACTAGCGAGCAACCGATACCGTGGAATTTAGAACACAGTTCCCAAGAACAGCATTTAAATACTTCGTTATATGACCATAGCGTTATTATTAAACCACTTGATTTTTCTTCTCTTACTGATGAAACTAAAGGCAACCCTTTTGCGTTTGATAAGAATACTTCAAGTATTAATAAACCAAATGATCAGTATAATAATGTTATAAATGACACTAATAATTACAACTCTCCATCTTCTAATAACCAACATTCAATTCAACAAATAGATTCGGGTAATAGAAATTTCCCGGTTATAGTTTCGCCAAATATCCACAGACAAGAATATAATGGATTTCACGAAAGTGTCATACAGAGAACGGGTTGTGGTGATAAAAATAAGAACGATAAAGTATCACCGCAAACCGATTTTGAAAGCATGAATTGGAATATATCAAATGATTTCGATAAAATTATGAAAAATTCTCATATACCTATGATGGAACCACCTTGTATGTACGATAGAAACAACTATAATATTTTAGATAATATAAACTCTAATAAAAATGTATCGAATCAGTGGAAGAACAATGTTCCATGTGTGGATTTAACAATAAACAGTAAATCTAATTCTAATCACGATTCGTTTTTTGATGGTTGGAATTTTATTGAAAGTTATGAAAATCATCCTAGTAAAAAAAATATTAATTCTCCATCAAATAATAATGAAGTTCACAACCCATTAATGTATCCGAACCCGATGACATCTTTACAAGAATCAAAAAATAAAAATAATGACGGTGATAAATTTGAAAACGTATCATTAGGCAACGTAAAAAATATTCCCTTTTCAAAACCTAATGATATTTCTTCTAATAACGCACGTTCGCGAGACGTTTTCAATTTGAATAATCGAATACCCGATTTCAGTGATGGTTTTGAATTGCCAATTTTAAACGAACACCATGAATACATGCAATTTAAAAAGTCGTCGATTGACAGCGAACACAGAACTGATGGTTCGATTTTTGAACACTTAACTGAACCTAAGTGTAATCGACCTACGAACGAAACTACACTTAATGTTAAAAATGATCAGATTAAATCTGATAATGTCGGTCTGCCAAGTTTTAAAGAAAAAGAACCGTTAGCACCTATGCCACTGCCTCCGAAGCTTAACGTTGTGAAACCCATTATACGAGACCCGAGTCAAGTATATACAGTCATAAAACAAAAAGTAAAATACGATAACAATTCATGTATCGATAATGACAACACAATATTAAATAAAAGTGGGCATAATTTAAGAATGAACCAAATGAACGTTTTTAACGGAACGGATTTGAAATCAAAATATAATAGTAATATTCAATCAAATCAATTTGACGTTTGGTCTGAAAAATTTGTACTAAAAGGCAATTTGAACGATTCATCTAGCGCAGTTGTTCAATGTGATGTAGAAATCACACAATTCAAAAGTACTCCTGAAAATCGTAATACACTGATACTGAAATCAAACATAGGTGAACATTTTCAGGATAAAAACACAAAATTACTTGAAAATTCAAATTGTGATTTAACCGGAGTAGACAAAATAAATATTAACGAAGATGACAAAATTAACACCAACGATTTTCTTAATTGTTTAGAAAGTACAAAAACCGACGACCAGAAATATCAAGATACTTTGGATGAGTTTGAAACTTCTTTTGGGTTTGATATGCATTGTAATAACGAATCAAATAAGTCTTTCCATGAAGATATTGTAGATAAATGTTTAGAAGAAAGCATTCAAGATCAAATTGGCGAACACAACGTGAATACAACAAATTTAACTAATTTGTCAATCAATAACATTAAATCATCAAATAATATCCAGTCACCTTTCCATTGTAATTTTCAGTCAGATTATCCCATCAAAAATCATTTTGATGAAAATAAAAATAAATCTGTTGATTTGGACGAAAAAGAAATCATTAACCATGAAAAATTAAATACAGCTGTTTTTAGTTATCATAACACAATTGAACATGATTTTAAACTTCAAGATAATACAAATATTAATAAAACTGAACATGAAACTGATAAGAATTTGGATTTCAACATTCTAAATGATGCAAGCAACGATATTAAACAAAGCCAAAATAAAACTGAAGAATGTAATTCAAATTTATTAAAAGATTCGTTCGAGGAAAAACATGATGACACAAATATATCAAATACGGACAAAAATAGTTTTAATTATTTAACTATGGAAGACTCTCACTTTGAGTTTAACAATAACAAAAAAATTATTCAAGAATCAACAAATTCTAAAAAAATTAGTGATACAAATAATCCGACTGAAGTTAATGATATTTCTAAAAAAAATCATTGTAATAGTCCTGATATAGATGAATTATCTAATGTTCAAACACTTACAACTGTAAATGATGATTTTAAATTAAACATTAATAACTCAAATATTTTTGAAACTAATTTAATTACTCAAAATACAAAATGCACAACTGGAACTAATAATAACAAAAATAATTTAGAATTGTCATTTCAATATGAAAATGCAGAAAATATTAAAAACGAAAATAATAATAAACATATTATTTTTCAATTAGAGAATAATACCAATATTTACCAAACAAGCAATTTTAAAAAAATTGACGAATTTGATTTCGAAATGAACTATTCTAATAGTAATATTTATGAATCATCAAATACAACAAACGAAAATAAAATAAAAACGCAATACACGTATGATGTAAATAACGATGAGGAAAAAATGATAGGAAAAGAAACAAATATAAACAATTCTTTATTTACTGAAAAAGAACATACATTTGAGGAATCTTCCAGTTTAGATTGTAAAAGTAATGATACGCACATTTCTAATGGAAAAAAAACAGATAGTATTAATATAAAAAATAAAGTCATTGAAGAAAATAATCCTAATCACTTTAATTCTCACGAAAATTTGAATAGTAACAATAATGCTGAAGTTGAGAATATATTTAGAAATTTATGTGAAAATTTAACTACATTAAATACCGAAAAAGATAACTCTATTCTTCCTGAAAATATCTGTCAAAATAATGATAATAGTTATGATGTTTCTAAGAGTCTCAGAAATATTGAAAATCGTAATGAATCGGAAGTTATTGACGATAATCTTGAAACAAAATTTAGCGAAAGCCATGACAAACCTAATGAAACTTTCGAAGAATGTAATAGTGTTTTACTTAATAATTTTATTAATAATCAGCCTTCACATTTAGCGGTGGGTTCTATAAAACAAAATGAGCTGTTAAAGGAAGAAAAAACCGAAGAATTAATGTCAGCCGAACATAACTCTTGGGATCCATTTAAATATATGAAAAATACTAATGAAAATTTTTCAGACGTTTCTATTAAAACAATTGAACGTGGACATTTTTTTACCTTAGAAGAACAACTGAGTAAAGAAATTAAACAAAGCGAAGTAGAGTTAATAAATAAAAACAATACACAAAAAATGCAAAATGCAATAGTCAATACAGTTCCAAGTCACTTCACTAAAAAAATATTAGAAAACATAAAAACTGATTTATTAAACGCTATACAGAATGCTGAGAAAATTGATAGTGAAGAAAATTGTCATAATAATAGTCCTCGACTTAATTCATTAAATCACGATCAACAGCATCTTACTAAAATTGGTTTGACTGATGATTCAGTTAATACTAGATCGAATCCTTTAAATGACACTGGATTATTACATAAACAAAATACCAATGATGTTTTGAAAGTTGAAGATTTAGCTATTTCTAAATCTAGTTTTTTAAATTGCAATCAAAAACATTCAAACGAAATTATTGCAATTCATGATACAACAAGTTCTGAATCTAATTCACTGAATCAATTTGAATTCCCTTATCGACAAAATTCCGATGACATTTTTAAAATTATAGATTTATCTAAATCTGGGTCTAGTTTATCTAATTCATTAAATGACGTTCGATTTGTTCAAAATTCCAATGATACTGTCGAGGTTGAAGATTCATCTAAATCTCTACCTATTGCATTAAATAACCCCGAATTCACCTATGAACAACAGTTGAATGATATTGATAAAGTAAAGGAATCGACTAGTTTTGATTCTGGTTCATTAAATTGTCAGCAAAATCAAAATGATATACTTGAAGTTGAAGATTCGCCTATATCTAAACCTATTGTATTAAATGATGTCGATTTCACTCTCCACGAATATTCCAATAAAATGAATGATACGGACGATTCAACGAATACAGAATCTAATTCATCAGATGATGTTGAAATTATTTGTAAACAAAATTTCAATGAAACAATTAGGAATGGAGAAAAACATAGATTTAGTTCATTAAACTACACAGAATCTACACATCAACAAAATTCAAATGAACTTTTTGATGTTGACGATTCAAATAGTTCTAGTTATAACTCATCAGATGACATTGAAACAAATCGTAAGCAATACTCCGATGAAAAGATTGGGAATGGAGAAAAACATGTATTTAATTCATTAAATTACACAGAATCTACACATCAACAAAATTCGAATGAACTTTTTGATGTTGACGATTTAAATAGGTCTAGTCATGATACATCAGACGAAATTGAAACGAATTGTAAGCAAAATTCCAATGAAACGGTTAGTAATGTAGAAACACATAGATTTAGTTCATTAAATTACACAGAATCTACACATCAACAAAATTTGAATGCACTTAAAGATGTTAACGATTCAAATAGCTTTAGTAATGATTCATCAAATGGCATTGAAATTAATTGCGAACAACACTCCGATGAAATGATCGAGATTGAAAATGCATTAAAATATAAATCTATTCCATTAAATGATACTGAATTTTCCCATGAACAACATTACAATGATAATAATGATTTAACTGGTTCTGTCTCTGATTCATTAGATGATATCGAATTGACTTGTCAACAACATTCTAATGATAATCTCGAGACTAAAAATTTACTTAAATCTAGACCTAGTTTACTTAATTATGAAGAAGTTATTTCTCAAAAACCTTCCAATGAAATGGTTGAAGTTGACGATTCAACCAGTATTGGAGAAAATGTATTAAATGACGTTGAATTAATTTGTCAACAACATTCAAATGAAATTGCTGAAGTTCAAGATTTTTCAAAATCTGGACCTAGTTCATTAAATCACATAGAAATAACAAACCGACCAAATTTCAATGAAATTGTTGAAGTTAACGACTCAAATAGTTCTAATTCTTTTGATTTAACTTGTGAGCAACATTCTAATGAAATTATGGCTGATTTTAAAGTCTTATCTGAATATGAACATACTTCATTAAATAACATCGAATTTACCCACGAACCACATTCCAATGATCTTATAGATATTGATGATTCAACCAGTTCAGAATGTAATTCATTAAATGATGTTGAATTGACTTGTCGGAAACATCTCAATGATATGATTGAGGTTCTAGATTTACCTGAATCTAAGACTACCTTAATACATGGCGTTGGAAGTACTTTTCAGAACTATTCAAATGAAATGATTGAAATTAAAAATTTACCTGAATCTGTGTTTACTCCATTTAATAACACAAAATTAGCACATCAGCTACATTCAAACGAAGTCGGTCAACTTGACAAATTAGCTTATTCTAAATCTAATGAATTAAATGACGCTGAACTATTAAAATTTCAACATAATCCCAATAAACTCGTTGATTATTCGACTAGTTGTAGTTCTTTAGATGATGATGAATTGACTTGCCAGCATAATGAATTAGCTAACGAATTAGGTGAGGTTGAGGATACATATAAATCTGGATCTAGAATATTAAATAATAACGAATTAACTCATCAAGAACATTACAATGATATTGATAGAGTTAATGTATCAGCCAATTTTGGATCTAATCTATTAGATGCCGTTAAAATAACTAATCAGAAACATTCCACTGAAACGGTTGAAGATCCATCTACTTTTTATCACACCAAATCAGTACATCAACAACCTTCAAAAGAAATCGTCCAAGTCAATGATCCAATTTGTTCTGAATCAAACTCATTATATAACGTTCAACTATTAAAACATCAGTATAGTCCCAAGAAACTTATAGATGATTCAATGAGTAACAAAAATTCAGAATTTGTTGAAAACGACAATGATTTTAAATCAAATAATGACTCTTGTCTCGAGAAAAAGGACTCTATTGATGAAATAAAATTACCCAGAGTTAAATTTATATTAAAATGTCACAGTAAAACAATGATAAAAAAAAATGTATTTGACGAAGTGTCAATTGTGCCCTACAAAAAATTAAATGTGGCAAAAGACGAAAAGGTTATTGCGGGTCATATTTTTAAAAAACGAATAAATTTTTATAAACCGTGGATAAGTTTATGCAAAAAAGACATTGACAATAGTCCGAAAGAAATGATTAAAAATATAGTCCACACGAAAAGTCTAACCGGCCCCGAACATGTGTCACATAGCAATGCATGTTGCGGTTTTAACAATGACGAAGAAAATATCGATAGCATCGTGATGAATGTCCCAGCCCCAGAGATGACGTTTACTAACGAAGAACAATGTGACGAAATGTCAAAAATCGTTAAAGATGAAAAGTCAAAATGCGTCGAAGAAGTTATTGATAGTAGTGATACTATAATTGTTGAAGAACTTGTTCCATCTGTTGATGATATTCTTATTGAAAAACAAACGTTTGAAAATTATGGAAGCGAAAAGTGTTGTGAAAAATCGCTGGAAAAAGATTTCGAAATTGCATCGCATAAAACCATATCTAAACTTACGAAAAATTACGTCAATATTCGAGATAAATTCAATATTCGACTGTTGGCTCGCCGGACGAATGAGACGAAACGAAAAAAGCGGCGGCAGTGGCGGCGGAAACGTCGACAAACTGACAACACTACAGGACTAGTGGTTGACAACGGGTTTGCAAGCAAGCTCGCCGATGACCGCATTGAATTGCCGGCAGCTGTTTTGCGGTGGGCTACGACAACGGCAGCAGAAACAACAAATGCGAGGTGCAAAATTAAGGTACAGTTGCCTTGGGGCAGGATATTTAATCTGAGTAACCAACTGGACGCCAATAATTACACAAAGCTCGAATTGGGCCCTGCCAAAGTCGAAGTAAGAATGAGCGAAACGCCGGGTGAATGGAAACTGTCAGCTTGCCGGTCGACAACTTCGTCTAAATCGGTGGTGAGCGTTAGACGGTTGGTGCTGCAAAGGGCCGGAACGACTGGCGGCTCGTCCAAAGATTCATCGGACTCGGGAAATAGTACGGTCGTTAGTGGTAACATTGTTAATGATAACAGCAGTATAAGTGGTAACAATAGTAGCGGATATAGTGATGCTAATAGCAGTAGCAGTAATGGTAGTAGCAGTCGCAGTGATGGTAGTAGTGATATTAGCCGCAATAACGACGGCAGTTCACAGATCGATTGTTCTCGAAAATTACCGAAAATTGTAATCCGACGAAACGGTTTAAACAACAACTATACTAGTTACGTGAGTTGCGGTGGGTTTGCGGGTGGCAACATTAACGAAGGCTCTCCTCAGTTGACTGTCCGGTTGATACGAGACAGGAAACTGGACGCTATGGCAGCCAGTGGGATCACCACTCTACATCTAAAACATTTCATTCCCGAATCAGACACACACGACGCAAAAAGGGTCCGGTACACGTAAACCACCATTAATCATAGGTATGTGTTTGTCGTTGTGTAATTGATTGACGTGACTAATTAAACAGGTAATTCAGATATAGCTGCAAAGTTAAGGCGTAGGAAAACTTCCCTTGTCATTTTTTTAATTTTTTTTTTTTTTTTGGGGTGGGAGTATGTATGGAGAAAAACTCGTAATAAATTGTTATCATTTAAGTTTCCTAACAAAATAACATTGCTTGTATTACAATATTATTGTATTTATTATATCATGCCTGCGTACTATGGCACACTGATTGCAAATCTTTAGCTGACATATCTGTTTATATTTCGTCTTTTTATACAGGTACACTCAAATCTGATAATAAATTCTGTCGTATAACTTAGGAAGTTTTATAAAATATTATTTTTATTTTTCAGGATATTTAATTTAGAAAAAAAAACCTAAAACACTCGTGGTTTTTTTTTGTAAACGGGGCAGAATCGACATTTATGTTACCAATTATTAAAATTACGACCTTGATACTTGTATCACGATTTTTCTCTTCAATTGTTGTTTTATATTTTATATATTTTTACGATTGTTTTCGATATTTATGTTTTATTTTTTTTATCAATAATCTACATTGTATATAATATCACCAAACAAAAACAGAGGATCCTATTGTAGTTATTATTATTATTATTATTTTGTTGATTGTTAAGATTTTATTTAAATCAGGTAAAAATGTTTTTTTTTTTTCGTTGGTGATCATTTTATGTATTGTTATATTTTATGCGAGTTTGTAGTTTTATTTGTTTTTATTATTATTTTATTTTAAAAATTGTTGTTTTTTAATATTTTTGAGTTAGGTAGGTATTTGAAAAACTGTAAAAAAAAAACCAAAGATTATATAACGGAATTATATAGATTGTTATTTGAATTTAGTAAATTTATAAAACCACCGCGTTTTTCAACTAGTAATTATAATTTTATTTTGATATAGGTAGGTACTAGGTATATACAACGTTTGTATTTTTAAATCAATTGCAACGTGGGGATGATTATTGTTATTATTATTATCGAAGGTCTCTGTACTTTAAAAATCGTTATTATAATAAGTATATTATAACTTTATATTTCTCACATTTTATTAATGATATTCCTTTATACTTGCAAATAACTGCACTGAACGGTAATCAAAATTACAAATTATATTAAGCGTGCTATACAAATTCATTTGTTAACTAATTTTGTTGAAAACCGACCCGTTTTGCAATGAAAACACCCACCTTTTAATTTCTAATCCATTCCGACATTTTTAACGAATATCATTTTGAGATTGCTCGTTGACCTTATACGGCAATTATTATTATATTATTTGTTACTTATTAGCGAAACAATTACACTATTCATTGAATAAATACAAACCATTAGACTATTAAAGTAAAAATAAAAAAAAAAATAACGTTTCGCGCGTATCTATACGTGATTGCAGTATAATAATATACTACACACACACACACACACACACACACACAGACTTACAAATAACACCGATCGCGCGCGCGCCTGTGTGTGTAAAACGTATAAAAAAAATCGTAATTAAAACAAAGAACGCGTTAACATTAATCGTCGGTTTATTTCAATTCAAAGGGCACAGTATGCAGGAACATTTTTTACGGTCAATTATTATTATATCGATAATAACGATTATAAATTCGAAAATAGTTTAATTCGTTTCGTCCGTGGCCATCGCAAATAAGCGACTTTCGATTGAATACGGCCTCTAACAATTACAACAGCAGTGTAATTTTTTCGCAGATACCTCCACACTGCTAAAAAAAAAAAATCTTTCTCAATAGTCGTGTGATGTTACTCAAGTTAGTTTACCGCTAATTAATTTAATATTAATCACATTATTATAATATCGTTACTACGTTCCTCTAGTCAGTATTTTTTATTTTTCAAATATTATCATATTTCGCGTCGGAAAAAAATGAAAACAACAAGGAAAAAAAAATTACTAACAAACCGATAAACTATTTTTTAATTGAAATTTTCGTTCGTGATTTCGATATTTTAATCAATAAATTATATTTAAAGTATTTTTACCATATATTTATTCACGTGACCGGCCACATTCCTATAAATGATATGGAAAAAAAAAAAAAACATAAACGATTTACGATTTCAGTTTTCAATAGTTGGCTGTGATTTAAAGAATTGATTTACAAAGGTATTTTTATTTAATCATTTTTTCGATTATTAAATGATATCTATATTGAATAATATATTTATAATAATAAAGTCGTTTTAATATTTTTTTTTTTTGTTTATGCATATATTATTATACAAATAATTGTCTATACTCGAGCTTTCATTATAAACGCAACGGATTGATAAATATATTAATATATTCTAAATTATTATTTTAACGAGGTTTTTATTAAACATATATAATCTATATAGTATATAAAAAAAAAACAAAAAAAAAAAAAAAAATGAAAAATGTTTTCTGGGATATTATTATTGGATTTATTACCATAGACATATATATATATATATATTTTAAAATTGTTTTGAATTTGTCAATATTCAAATAAAGCGTATATACTTTTCTGTTATAATAAAAACGTTCCAACGGTTTATTTTTCATAAAAGGACATTATAAGGGTTAAAATACAATATTAAAGTTATCGTTATTCGTATATTATATATAATTATTAATAATGATTCGTTAAAAATCAATATTACAAATATCTATAACGTTTATATTTGAATAAAACGGGTTAAAATTTTTTTTTTTTTTCAATATAATAATATCATTGATATCATTTTTTTGTTAGTAAGTTGATAAACTGGTCGTTTAAATAGAATTTTCAAAAAAATAAAAATTATATATATATATATATATATTATTTTACCTATATAAATATAGCTTAATTATTATTTTGTATTTAATGAGCAGTTACTCGTTTTTTTTTTGTTTTTTTATCATTGTTAGATTGAATTTATTAATATATATATATATAATAAATTATTATACATTATAATATAATAGACAAGTAGACAAATTGTAATACTTAGTCTAAATTTTTGCACTCGCAACATATATTATTATAATATACCTAATAACATATTCGTGTGAACGTTTTTTTTTTTTTTTATTTTAATTTATATATTTATATACATATATATTATCTAGAAAATACACACGCTACGTCCAATTATTGCGTGTACAAATAATTTATATTATTCTATATGATCATAAAACACATTTTACTCTAGGTACATAATATATTATTTTAATAATATTTTAATCCGAATATCCATATTTTTCGTATATTTTTAATGTACACGTATCTATAATATAATTATATCCAATATCGTTTCTTGTAAATATATTTACGGACCAAAAATATTAGTTTTTTTATTGCATTATTATTATTATTATTATTATTATTTTACATTCACGCTTAGGTTTTAAGAAAAATGTTGTATAAAATTGATTTTTTTTTTTTATCTCAATCACACTTATGTTTTTATTAAGTTACGTACCTACATATTTTATTATAATAATAATATATATATTTAGCTTAAGAACATTATTGTATTAAAACCGGATAAAAATAAATAAAATAATAATACTATATCGCGATTACATTATATTCAACCGTTAGATGTTAATTATATTAAAGCGGGTGTGCTTTTATAATTAATTAATTTACCTTTATTGTTTTTTTAAGACTGATATCAGATAAATAATAATAATGAAAAAAAAAATATATTACTCATGGAGATCTCAGAAATATTGCCTTGTAAAATTAAAAATAAAAATTAAATAAATTTCATAGGATATATTATCAGTTATAATAAATTATTTTTAATGTTGTATGACTAAATTGATTATTTATTATATTGATATTATTATTATTATTTTTTTTAAAATATGCATATTACACAGAAAACCGTCACCACCGCGTTCATCCGGATTATTTCCGTGGAAAAAATATCCGAATTTTTTTTTTTTTTTAATTTTTCTGTCGACGCTACGATTTTTTTTTTATAATATTTATAGAGAAATCGAGCCAATGACTGCAGTGAGAGAGAAAAATAGAAAAAAAAAACATCCATCTAAACCGTGTACGTTTGTTGGATTTGCGAACAACGCGTTTTTGATCGTCTCACGTAACACGCGCCGAAACGTTAAATGGTTTTTTTTTTTTTTTAGTGTATAACGTTCGTACTGTCACAAACAAATAGGAAAAAAAAATTATTCCAATAATTCTAATACGCCTATAATACCTCTGTGTATAACATACCGGTGCGCCCGATGGAAAATCGTATTTACCTATATATTCGTATATGCATATAAAAAAAAAATAATAATTAAATAAAAATAAAAATAATTTGATTTAGTTATATTTTATACCTATACGTACTGTAATAATATAATAATATTATTATCGGCGTAATCGTATTATTATAATATTATTTTTTTGTAGGTACGGACTTGGATTTTATAATATATTATTATATAAACACCACCTCATTACAATATCATTGTACCTCTTTTTTTTTTTTCCTTGTAATATGCATTATAAATCGTATTTTTTTAGTGTTTTACACGAATGGGTGTTATTGTACCTGTACTATTATAAGTGTATTATATTTATGCAAGGGAAAAGCCAACAACTCTATGTGTTGTTATATTATTATTAGTATATGTGCAAATAATATGTAAGTATAAAAAAAAAAAAAAAAAAAAAAAACATTAAATCAATAAGGCATTTTCAATTTTCGTAAAAAAACAAAATAAAAACTCCGTAAACTTTTTATTTATTGGGATAGTTATATTGTATGAAATCAACCGTTTAAATGGGCGAACGCGGGGAAAAAAATTGAACAGGGGAGGTTTCGAAAAAATATACCTTAACACATATTTCTTCATTTGTAATGTTGATTTATTGTTTACAATTTTAAGACAAATTTAAAGGTAATTTATATTTCGCAGGGGATTCGAACCCTCCCTTCCCACCCAAAACCCTCACTCTGCGTTCGTCAACGCAGGTCGTATTACAATATTTTAATATCGATTCGTTTGTACCAAACGGTGTTCACTTCGTCTATTTATCTATACTTACATATCGTGATAACGCGATATATATTATAATAATATATGATTTAGTTTTGTTGATTTTGGTGTTTTTTTTTTTTTTTTAAGTCACCAGTAGCTTACACTGTTATTAGTTTTGGTACCTATGTAATATTTATTTGTTTTTTTTTGTTGGTATTTATAAATACACTATTGTTTTGATTTGCAAAGTGTTGTGAAATATACAGGGTATATATTATGTACAATTTTTTTGATGTTTTTATTTTATCCGCCGAATCTTTAAAAATTTCCTTCGCCCTGTGACAATAATATTTTGAATGTATACAAAATATTGTAAAAAACAAAAAAAAAAAAACGTCGCAAATAATAAAATTATATTAAAAATATAAAACGTGTCACGTGTGTGAAATATTACTAACGGGACTTTGTCACGCAGCGAGATACCTGACGATACGAGCTGGTTGGTCGTCAAAAAGAAAAATAGTGAAAAGAAAAAAACATTTAAAGAGTCGTCCGTGACCCTCGAATAGTCTCGGTCAACTATAAAACGAGAATTGCATTTAAATAAATTAATAAATGAACGTCTATAACCTCATCATAATATTTAAATCATGCGCGTGCACTATATATACACATACAGGATGATCTATTTATCACAAACCGGCGATTTTCTTGTGAGATTCTGAAGTAAATTTAATTACTATTTTGAAATGGCAACACATCCTTTCCAACGTGGATTCGAAAAAATAATATTTTTCCAAATATATTGATTATTCATAACGATATAGCTAATTTAGATCATTTATCATTTACCAGTTATACCAGTGGCGTATTTACGGCGGAGATTTGTCTCCCCCTCCTGACATTTTACAGTATCTATTATTAACATCAATGCATATTTTTTAAATTGATATGTATTTACTTTGAAGTCAGAAAAATCATGTGAGTTGAAATCAGTTGATACCAAGTAAATATTATAAAAAGAACAACCCACATGTATGCCTACATTTCCTTGATTAAAACGAAAAAGATATCCAATACAGTATAATATGAAGGTGGTAAGATTACTATCACCTTAATAGTAAATAAAATCATTACGATATTAATAAAAAAAACACCTGGTTATTTAGTTTCATTGTTAATTTAAAAGGCAAATTGAATTATATGTTAATTAACCATTTAATAATTAATTACGTTTTTTTTTTTTTAAATCTAAGTACACGCATTACACAATGTGACACAATTTAATATCTCCAACTTTAGAAAAATCCTAAGTATGCCACTGAGTTATACGTTTATAACAGTTGAGAATTTAGAACGGAGCAGTGCATATAGGGAAGGGCATCACACATTTATCGTAATAATAATGGCGATTGATCGTGATATGAATCACCTTGTATACACGGAATATTATTATTCGGTCGTCGAGCTGTGCGATAAACTGTGACGACAAATATTATAATACCTACCTATAATATTATGCATCGTCGTCATCCACGTTGTTTAAACATTAGATAATTACAATTTTTTTTTATTGAGTTCCCTCCCCCCCTCTCTTTGCCCTTGTAAAAAGTTTTCAATACAGGTCCGCGGTGTTAACAATATTATAATCGTAACGGACGCGACTGAAGCGAATAAAATTAATAAGTATTCCTAACCTAACTAAACGTAGCCATGTATGTTATTATAATAATGTATACATTTTATATTATACCGATTGTGGTGAGTCCATCATATTTATAAAAAAAAAAAAAAAAAGTATATAACAACCGTAATATTTTATTTATAGGGTCGGTATATTATTATTATTATTATTGTAAATGAACGTCGCGTGAGTTACCGCGGTAACACGTGTGGTTACCGCGGTTCGATCGAGCCCTCTACGGATTATCTACCGCCCGCCCCGTATGTACTCGTCCAAAGATGGCGGCATGAAACGATAAAACAGACGTCCACCCGTCCCGCACGAAAAAAAAAGTTTTTTACGCCGCCGTGGCGAGTTTGATCGATACAATATTATTATGTGTGCTGGTATTTTCGAAAGTAAGTATACACATTATGTTTATACATACAATATATATATTACAATATTTACTACGTACAACGATATTCCATCGCCGCCCAACGAAAAGGACAGCCGACCGCGTATAGAAGTGAGTTTTTCCGACTGTGACGCCCGTGTTTTTGTCGAATTTTCCCGAAAACACAGACTATTGCACTATATATTTTGTCTGATATACAGAGCGATTCATTCATCACGAAACGCCGATTTTCTAGGATTTTCATCATGGAATCGTTTAAGATTTACACCTATAGGTATTCTCTCATACCTCATGTGTGTATTGAGTCATTTTCAAACCGGAACTTCCTCCCTCCCACGCTTTTAATCTCAAATTAAAATAGAGAATATTTCTATCCAATCATATTGACGCGCATAACACTATAATATCGGATTTGCCGTTTATGAGTTATAACAGTATGCAGTTTAGACCGGAGGAGTATAGAAAAGGTTTATCAGTTTATACACGCATTTTCGTTTTGTGAATCTGTGTTTAAAAGGGAGAAGGGTTCTTATTTAAAAATCAAAAATGTATAATAATTTTATGTATAAGGATGGTAAAGGATAAAAATTGGGAATAGTGTTAAAGATTAAAAAAAAAAAAAAACAGTAATCGGATTCACTTAAAATCCCCCGAGAAATCACTGGTTCGTGATAAGTGAATTTCTCTGAATATATATAAATATTATTTCCTCGCTACTTGTGGATACTTCTAGTGATTCCAAACGAGCTTAAACTTAGGAACTAGATTTTTTCCGTACTGAAGCGGTTATACGAGTTGGTTTTAATTTCAGCTTTGATGATTATGCTCTTACGGAAGAAGGATGATTTTTAAGCTTTGAATACCCATACAGATCCCTTAAATGAATCTAATGCGATACTTTTTCATAACTGTCAAGGATATGTCTTTTTACCCACGCAGTCACGACCTTATAACTTTTAAGATCAAATTTCATATTTTTTTTTTAAAAAGTAATATTTATAGTATTGTATTCTTACAATATTCGGTTGTTTATTGTTTTATAAATAATATTTCTATGATACAGATAAGAGGAGTGGAGGTAATTCAACTCTAGAGCAGAGTTCTGCTGCTCACAGGTGTTTTTACGCTCGAGACAGAATATCCAATTGCATTGAGTAAAAATGCAAATAAGACGGCCGAGGTGACTATACGACGTCATATAACGTATGCAGGGTGATCAATATAACGTATGGCACTCATCTATCTCTGAAAGTATTATTTTTTTTTATAATTTGTTTTTTAGAAAATATAAGTGACAAACAGCCATAGAATGTTATACTTGCGTATTTTTTGTCATCCTTATTTTTGGATGTGAAACAACTATCTACTTTTGATTATCAAATTGTTATTGAAAATCCAACAATTTATTCAAACTAATACTTTATCTATTTATGGAATTTTCAGTAGAAGTTGCTGTTTAAAAATTAAAAGTAGGTAACATTTAAGAGTTGCACTTGTTATTACACATAATTTCTAAAAACAAAAATTACGTAACAGATTTTTACTGTCCGATACAATGAGTGTCTTACATTATGTCGATCACTCTATAAATTACTCAAAAATAATATTTAGTTTCGTGTCGTACCTAAGTAAAGCGTAAAAAAATGTCTTCGAGTTTTAACGGGAATTACAGGCCAAGTATATTGTTATTAGTGCGTAACGCCGCGGACCGTTCGACTAGGCGGTAATAATAATACACGAGTTACGACAAAAATTGTATAGTTTTTAAAAATAATACCTACAGTTTTATTGTTACTGAGTGATGTATTCTCGCAGGTGGGCAACTGCGGAGCGCCCGAACTGGACATTTTCCGCTTTTAGCCCGGTGAAATTGTTCAATCGTTTTTATTTCATTTACACGAAGTGAAGTCTCTTATTGTAAAAAAATATCCAATGTGAAACTGTTGCATGACTTTTATATAGTCAAAAACGTAAGCATCGGGATCGACAATAATTTAAGAACGTATATTCAATTAGTTGTTCCGATTTTTAATGGGGGTTTAGTAAAAATTTAATTAAACCCGTTAATTAATGTTTAGCTAAAAAACTGACCACGGATATATTACAGACCAATTTCTAAAAAAAAAAAAACTTAATACTGGAGATGAGTGTACCACTATTGTCGGTGGAAAATTGGGAAGGTATGATATATCAAGTTATTTAATTTGTATCTGTAATCAACGATTAACCATTTCTAACGAAAAACGATTCGGAGCGATGTTTAGTTAATGGTTAGGTTATACATGTTTTACGTAATATTTACGATTTTCGTTAAAATTTAATATTAAAAGTCTTATAAAAAAAATTATTACATTGCTCATTTTTTTTTTTTTACCATTAAATACGATTCATAATGAACCTTTTGTTAATTTTTGAAGCATTTTTGCTTAGTTTAACAATTTTATCTTTTGAGTACTTACCAAATAAAAATAATACAAAAAAAACATAAAATTAAAATGTCTATAAAAATTTAAAAATTTAGTTTAAAAATAGCTCAAATGTTTTAAAAATTTTACCACATCTAGAAAAAAAAATATAAGTTTTCTGACACAATCTCAAACTTACGAATATTTTTAACTGAAGTACAACAAAAAATGAACCGAATGAACTCAAACTCGGGAATTGGAGTATTTTAATAGACAGAAACAATTTTGGTTGAATTTCATTGTGAACTTCACTATTATTTTGCGGGACAACGGTGTTTTTTTAGTTTTGTTCAATCCTACATGCCTCAATCAGGGAGATAAAATGTTGTGTGTAGAAAGTATAGGTGCCAAGGATGTGCTTTTTAAGGGTTTCAGCTTTCAACTCCCTCAGCTATTTGTATGCTCAAATTTCATATTTACACAAGGAATACCGAGTTTCAAACACCCCTACAGACACATCTAAATAACTTGGTTAAAATGTGTGTGTGTGTGTGTATTTATATATATATAATATTGTCGAGGATGTGTCTTTAGAAAGTTTTAACTTTCAACCTCCGCTCTTCCCCTTATGTTTTATGTTAGCAAAAGTCTCGTAAATTATTTTACCTATTTTGATGAAATTATTTTGTTAAATTTATCACTACCCGAAGGTTATAAGATACATTATATACCTGAAAGAGTGGTAAAGAAATATACCGCGAAATAGGACAGGGATGGGTTGACTCAGTATAGTAAATATAAATCATAAATAAATACAATTTTAATTGAATTAAGCTATGATATAATGTTATTAACAGCAATGAGTAACTCTAGCAACTATAACTACTTTAGATCAATTATACAAAAAAAAAAAAAATGATATTGTGTAAAAAATCTATTTACCAAATATTTTAGATAAAAATATAGAAGAATTTATTTCCAGAATTTTTCTAAACGATATTATGTCAATTTATTTTTTATTAATTCACAACATTCTTCCCGACAAAAAGATATAGAATACAAATAAGGAATTATTTCATAAAATAGTTCATAGTTTAAAAGTCGTAAATGACATTGCCGACATTGCTGTCAAATTGAAGATTTTAATCGAACAGGCCCAAAGAATGAAGATCAAAACGGTATACAATACAAGTTGTCACGCAGCACCGGAAGCTATATTTAAATAGCAATAAAAGCACTGTAATGGGATAGGTAACTACAATACATAGTTATGTATTGTATATTTGCTCTACAATAAATGTTAAACAATAAAACTAGTATACCTAATATGATTATTTTAAAAATTAATTCGATAGATATAAAATATATAATATAAATGTTTAAGTTGTTTGTATATAGTATAATTTATAATACACAAACGGATCATAACGATGTATTCACTAAAAATGACCTCTCCAGTCAGATTTATTTTTAGAAAATGTGCTACACTCGAAAATCGGTGCAAAATTTCTGTTAGAAAAGTTGTTCGCAGGGGAAAAAATAATCATCATTGTAAAACCAATACATTCTTCGCTCCGCCCAGAATCTAAAAACGAAAGGAAAGAAAACCTATTTTTGAACTTTGAGGGCTTTGGAGCACGGGTTAAACTTGACCAAATTACTTAAAATTATGTATATCTACGATATTTTTATGTAAATTAGAACTTGTTTAGCGGGATCGATCAAAAAAAGTTCAATATTGAAAAATAATGACCGCCCTAATATATATATATATATATAAATAGGTACATAGATACTATAGTTATGTAAATCAATAAATACCGATTTAAATACACAAACGAGTACGGTTGATATACATTTTTTTATTTTTTCGCAATTCAAATGTAAAATGTAAATAATTATTATTCGCGTATACACTGCAGGTAACGAGGGTGCCGCACTCTGGCACCAGCTATAATATTATACAAATCCGTTTTTACATAACGTAAGAACCTCCCCCGGTCCCCTCCGCGTGCTTTGTAATGCACTTCCAATCGCCGTGATAAGAGTACAGTGACCTCTGCCGTGTTCACGGTCTACCGAGGTGATTTTTTTTTTTCGTACACATTGTCCCGTGTACTTACCGGTGCGGTGTTACTTTTTATAATTACGAGTTGTTTATTAGATTCACAATAATATAGATATTATTTTTCAAATAATCGAAATTCGATTATTTTCGCGCGGTCCGGTAACAGAGGTGCGGCGTACAATAATGTGGTCGGATCGGGAGTTGTCGAATCGTCCCGACTGATGCAGGATCGCGTGAAAACCTGGAACACACAAGCCCGGAACGTATAAATCCGAAATTAAATAACCCCCCCCCTCCCCTTTAAAATCATTTGGAAACTTTTATCGATCAATACTAATCTATTAAACTCGATAAGTTTACGGTCGACAATACCTACTCAAGCTGCAGCGCCAAACGTTTCCAATGTTCTCGTATAATATACCTATTAAATTGTAATATCGCAGCACCGACGTTTTAATATGATAATATTGACATTGATAGGCAATAATAATAATAATAACAATAATAAATAAATAAATAAATAAATAAATAATGAATACACATAATATTTGTTTTGAATTCAAACGAAATTAATTGTTGGCGGGATGTTATTCGTCGTTTTTTATCGTAAAAACATAATTCGATTGTCCCCGGCTGTGTCAAATGCACACACTTTATTATACGTGCATAACGCGTCGAAAATAAATAGGTACATAATTAGAGTATTGTTATAACCATTACTTATATTGGCTTTTAGATAATTTCGTCCGTATGAAACGCAAAGACTGTATGGCTATAGTCCAATGGAGTTTATCTGTGAACCGACCGAAATTAGTTCGAATGTAATTTATAACGCGCGCTATTACGAATCGTTAAACGGTTTCATTGCGTTTAAAATCGCTAGCCACGCGGACCCGGTGAAATAATAATTGATAATCGTAACGTACCCATCTATACGATATTATGTACCTACGCGTTTTCAACGATTGTACATAATACCGCGTATACTTTTTTCTTCTTTTTATTGGGGTGTATAACCACTTTTTATTTTATATATTTAATATACGCCTAACAAGTATTTCTAAAAAATTTAAATCGACGTATACGTATGGGTGTAAAAGAACGGCCGTCGCATTTACCTAAATTAGTTTTATTAAAGGGCGTGCGTTTTTCCTCTAAAATGTATAAACGGTAAGTCGAATAACCATTGCTAACGATAAATACGACGTCCAACAAAATTCAGTTGTACATACTTTCCTCGAATTCCGTAATTTTCACAATTTTCGTTATACTTAATTCTTAATAAAAAAAAAATAACTGCTGCATATATTCGACTTTTTTTTTTTACTAATAAATACAACCAATAATTTACCTCGTGTTAAATTTTCAAGAATTTCTGTTTGGTCAAACAATTTTATCCGCACAGAATGTCTTATACTATACATAAGAAAACAAAAAAAAAAAAAACAGGTTGGAAAATCAAAACACGACTTTCTTATCCACTAACTAGACCCAGAAAAAAATATATCTTGAGGTTTTTTGATCTGTCCAAGATTTCTGGTTAAAAAGTGATTGGCAGACGGAAAAAAACATAGTTGAACCAATACATTTGTCATCATAATCAGAATCTAAAAGGTTCAATTTTTTTTTCTCCAAATCTATATTGTTCTTACGCATATTATACTATTTGTGTGAAACCCCTAGTCATAATAATTATGGTAAATCTGAAAATTAAAGAATTATCGAAATATAAAATTAATAATCATATTTTTCGTAGGCTATTTTTTGAAAAATTACGTAACAATCAAAAATAATATAAATAAACTTTTTTATTTTTATCAAAAAGCAAATTTTATATTTGTATACACATGAAATGTTCTTGTATACCAGTTTTTTAGATACGGAGCAGAGCAAAGTCGGTTACTATAATGTGTGTGTGTTTTTTTTTTTTTTTAAATTAACAATAATAACAATACTTCTAACTAATAAATAATAATATGTAATATATAAGACGTAATGTAATTTATATGTATATGACGAAATGAAATAGAAATACAAATATTTACAGAAAAAATAATAATAATATTTGGGGGTCAATAAGAACCATTTCCTTGTTGTAATTCCTATTAGTAACTCAAAATGGTTCTCAAACTATATTTAAATAGAAAGAAATACATTTGGCAGAAACGAAAACATAATTTTGGAGGAAACGAATGCTTATTAAAACGGTAAATATGATTTTTTTTTTTTTTTTAAGAAGTAAATTAAAATAAAAAACGTTTACTGTTGTCAAAATATACGTTGTACACAAATATCATGAAGTTTTTAGACTTAATTACGTTGAAATTTAAAAATGAACTAAGTATAACTTTTTGTTTAAAATGCAACTTATTCTTTGGTCTGGGGCCTCTAAACGACATTCTATTGTGGGTGGGGCAGAAAATCAACTTGTAGAGTAAATTTCCGGTACTTTAAAACGACTATGCGAATAGATATAATGTATGCAAATTAGGCATTTATGCACAAATGAAAAAAAAAAAATAAATATAATTTC